AACATTAATTTAGAACATCGATAAGTATACACTCACATATACACAGACATACACATATATAACAATGTTAATATGATACATTGAAATGTACGCCTGTTTACGTTTTACTTATGCAAAAGGCTCTAAACAGAAAGAATTACACACACAAAAACACATTTAGATTTACTGCACGTCAGGAGAGCTTCGATTGACTTTTCTTTTTGTTCTTTTTTATTTCAAATAAACTATTAAAAGAAATTTATAGAAAAAAGGAAGCGAAAGCATAAATCAATTAAAAAAAAAAAAAGAAAAGAAAGAAAGAAAAACTAAGGAAGGAAAAACAAACAAAAATATATATATGTTTTTGTGTTGTTTTTAGTGAAAGGTTTGAAACGAGAGAGAGGATAACGAATAAACTCGCATTACGTAATAATAATTCAAATAGAATTCTATGAGAGAATAAATATCTATTATTTTTATCATTATTATTATTATTGTTATTATTATTATTATTATTATTATTACTATTATTATTATTATCTTCTTTTTCTTTTTCTGTTTCTGTTTTAGTTTTCTTTTATATATATAAAACACCCAGCTCAAAATAGATTTGGTTTTATAGTTTTGGTTCTTGTTTACGTTTCGTATACAATACACTGAACAAAGTACAAAATAGTTATCAATGGTTTCATAAATAAATTAATTCTTAAAAATAAAGTAGAGTTTCATTTATTTTTACGGAAAAGAATGAATACATTAAAAGTAAACAAAAAAATAAACATATAAATAAATAAATAATACCTTCTTCTTAATAGTAAAGAAATTATTATCAAAATAATAATAATATATATATTATAGTTTTTCTTTTCAATGAGTACAAGCATTTAATTAATTAATAGCATTAAGAGAAAACTAATTAGATGGGATTATAGAATAAAAAAAACAAAAAAAAAAAAAAAAAAAAATTCGAAAGATGTTTAGCAATAAAATGGGAGAATTATATAAGGGCAAGATATAAATAATTGTTACTTAAACTCTTGGTAAAGGCTACAATTTTTTTTCTTTCACGCACACTAATTAATCAAATATTTAACCTAAGCCAAGAATTTATAATAATATTATTACTATATAGCTAACTATATGCAAAAAAAATTAAATTGAAAAAGAGTAAGGAAAAAATTTTGACTTACCCTGTTCAAATAGTGAAAGTATTAAAAAAAATTTTTTTCTTATGTGTTTCATATGTTTTCTTCTGAAAATTAAAAAAATAAAAGAAAAAAAAAAAAAAAAAAAAGTTTTGAAAACAATCTAAACCATTCCAGACCAACTTTCTAAGCGTAAGCATTTTTTGACAGTTAATCGGCACAGGCCAGCACGTAAGAATCGTGACTGCCAAGTCAGTGTTCGTGGCAGAGTTTTTTTCGGTCGTAGTTACAGCGAGCCCGCCGTCCGTAAAGACATAACACCTACTGACTAGGCGTACGCTCACTGGGCTGCACTCTCTCTTCATATCTTTTTCCCTTTCCCTGACTTCTTTCTGATGCTCAGCGTGTTATTCGTATAGGGGTTATCATCCCACTTTTGATCGGCGACATGCATTGGCAAAAATGATAAAGTAATGCGAACTATCTATGTACGCAACGATCAAATTCGATGATTTCGACGTTTCTCTACATAAAATACCAGTTTTCCATGCAGTATTATTGTCTTATTCACTGTATACGGATGCTAATCATGGAGAGCCCAAATTTTCATTTTCGACATTCATTACTATTTTTGTTGCATTTGCTACGAAAGCTCTTCATACTCTTCTAGAAGCTTATGGTGATGCTGCTCAATCATTTGTCAATTTTCGGCTTTGGTTTCGACGGCTTATAAATGATGATTTTGATATTAATGACAAAGAACAGCCTAGAGGACCAAACAAGCTCGAAAACGATGAATTGCAAGACTTATTGGACGAAAAACCAGCTTAAACTAGCAAAGAATCCTCGAACGGCTTTTAGACATTTACATGGAGGGGAAAGGCATGAAACTGTCATTGCAACATCGCGATTAGATTGTTTGCCAGGCAAAGAAAGAACAATTTTCTGTGGCTTGTTGTGGCTGGCGATAAAAAGTGTGTCTACTAAGACAATACCAAGCGCAAAGAGTCAAGAGTTGGTCAAGGGGAGCCATCCATATCGACACGGAAGCTGAGTTTTCATGGTCATAGAATTTTTCTGTGAATGTGACGAGGCGATGGGGGGGAGAGGGTATGTGTAAAACTCTTTCTGGAGATGTCTGCCGAAGTCAATTGACCCAAATGAACGATGAACGATCAGCAATAGCGGCTAAAAGATGCCAAGTCGTCCTCTTGCTTGGGAACGCTCGGTCACACGATGCAACAGTTATCAAGCATGCACTGTTGCAGCTCGAATGGGAAGTTCTGTGACACCCAGCTTAGTTGTTCAGATCGATTCAGTATGGCTCGGTTAGCACGCGGTTTAGAAAAGTTGAAGAAGGATCGATTGGATCGCTGCTAAATCAGTCACGTTCTTTTGACACGGTATTGCCATGTTGCCAGAAAGATGCAAAAAAAGTTGAACAAAATGATGGGAAATATTTCGATTAATATATAATATATAGCTGGTAATGTTTTTCAATAAATGCCTTTTCAAATAAAAGAATAATCAAAATACCTGCAAACACCTAATCAGATTATATTGTCTTACTCAATTTATCTTCGTTATTGCTTCCCTTTCTAGAGGCTTCATATGAGTTATGAAATGTCAATTAATATCCTTGAAATATTAACTTCCGATCAATTACATAATCTAAAACGATGAGTTCTTTTTTTTTATTCGAGCTTAAGGTAGATTGATCAATGGTTTAGAAGTCTTTCATATAGCTCTGGAATGGCTCAATAGTATTAAAAAGGAAAATAAAAGGCAAATAAATTAAAATTGAAAAGAAATTATAAAATATAAAAAAAAAAGGAAAAATCGAAGTAAATAGTTTAGATCGAAGCTCCGTGTCAACAATACAGCAATTTTAAAAGCAAAATTTATAATAAAAGACAATTTTGATTATAAAATAAATATATATAAAATTATTGAAATTTGATTCTATTTCAATGAATTATTTAATTTTATATTTAATACGTAATAGACTGCAAATAAATAATATAAAAAATTTATAAATTTATATATAGATTTGATCCAATACTATAATTTTCATTTCAATTTCTATTAATATAAACACAAAAATCTTAAATATTCCAATGTATCTCAATAGATAAATCGATCGAACACAGACAGATGATGAATGCAGTTAAAAGTTAAATAATTTTCTTAAAAAAAAAAAAAAAATTAAAATTTATATTAATTTAATTTTACTAATTAACAACAAACAGTACAAAAAATAAATTAAATGAAAATTAAATATAAACGAAAAAATAGATAACTTTTTCTTTTTTATTATTATTATTAAGAGTACACAACAATACACAAAAAGTCGAGTAGTATGGAAAATATTTTTCTTTTTTTTTTTTTTTTTTTAATATTTTAAACCAATAATAATACTTACGTGAAATTTTTGAGCAGAAAAATTTTTAAAAAAAACAAATTGTTTTCAATTTTGTTATTTTTTTTTTTTTTGGTTTTTTTTTTTTTTTTTTTGCAACCGCCGGATTGTTCAGATCGATTGGTTTTATAAATTTTCGTTGTTTTTTTTTCGATATACACAGAAAACAAATTAGAGAGAAAGTTATGTAGAATAATATGAGTAAAAAGAGAGGATTAAAATTTTTGAAAATTTTTCATTTCTGTAATAAAAATATTTTTGTATTGAATGCAAAAAAATTTAAAGAAAAGTGTAAAACGAACTAAAGATTTGTGAAAATTAGAAATTTTTTTTTTTTTTTTAATAAATATATAAAATATTATGTTATATATTTGTTGACTGTTCTAAGGAAATTATTTAAAAAGTAAATTAAGCTTAACATGCATAACTTAATATAAAAATTTCCGATCATTTTAAATAAATATTTTTTCCGTTGTCACGATAAAGAAACTTTTCATATCCACCATCGCCGAGTACTTTTACCAGTCATAGGGTTAGTACG